TCCATCCATCCATCCATCCATCTCTTTACCCTTGCATACACTGATCCACCCATTCATACATTCACCCATATCCATTCATTTATTAACCCATCTATCTGTCCATCCACTTATGTACACACCTTTATACAAATCCATGGACCCATCCATCCATGTACTAATCATCCACGGACCCATCCATTCCTGATCCCTCATGCATCCCTCCTTCCTCCTATTCTTTTATCCCCCTCCTTTCCCTTCTCCCTCCCGTCCTCTCCTCTACCCAGTCATCCACCATCCATCTAGTCATCCACGCAAATGGTCACTGAGCACATATTATGCACCCAAGAAAAACTCACTTCCTTTAATTTGATTCTGACTCCTGGAGACCTTCCATTGGGCTTCTGAGGCTGCAAATCTTAAATCGAGCGGACAGTCTCATCTTTCTGACGAGCAGATGGTAGTTTCAAGCTGCTGGCACAGACAGAATAAGACACGGTCATTATTTTCGTGAGGCTCAGAGTCTTATGAGGAGACCCACAGACCACTAGGTGACTAACCAGAGCATGATGAGAGCTGTGACGGGATGCTGGGAGAGACCAGAGAAGACAGATTATATTAATCAGTGTTACTATTAGAGAATACATTGTAGCAAGTAGCCATCAAATATCAATGACTCGTGAGAAACATTCCACCTATTAGAGCACAGAGCCCAGCGCTTCCTGGACTCCTGTGGGTCAGCCCAGTGGTTCTGCTCCCAGCTGCAGGCCTGGTTAAGGTCTTCAAGTGTCTTAGTCTTCCCTGACCCTTGGCCACCTGGGCCATGTCCTTCTCCAGGGGAATGGCAAGGGATGGAGAGAGGACATACAATGCCTCTTATAGTTCAGATTGTCACACTGTCCCTTCTTCCACATCCCAAGTCTGTGGTCTTGTTCCAGGAAGCTCCTGAGTCTGTGCCAGCCATGGTGTCACCCTGGAAGTCTCCCCAGACATCTAGAACTGGGGCCATCTAGCTAGAAGCCCCTGGCCTTTCCTCCTGTGTCCTCTGTGGCCCTGACGTCTGGGTTTTGGGGGGCTCTTGGCTGGTTTCTCTGCAGGTCTGGGATGATGCCAATGTGAAGGCTCAAGAGTTGGCACAGAGAGATGGATGGGTGAATGTGCCCCCCTTTGACCACCCCCTGATATGGTAAGCTGGGCCCCAACTCACAGCTAGGAGGCCCACACTGAGTCAGGTCCCCCCATTGGACAGAAGGGGAGACTGAGGCCCAGAGATGTGAAAGGGGTTTGAGGTCAGGGTTTGGACCTTGTGTTTGACACTTGCAAATTGTGTGACTTTGTGCAAAGTACCTCACCATCCCTTGCCTCAGTTTCCCCATGTGTGAAATGGAAGCAATCTTTCTGAGTGTGTTCTCTGGGACAGTTACTGGTCTCAGGGGTCCCTCCCCACTTCTCTACAAAGTCCCAGTGGTGGGTGTTGCTGATGCCATTTTATAGGTGAGGAAACTGAGGCGTGGGACCAGGGGTCAAGCAACTCTCCCAAGATCACAGAGCGAGTGAGTAGCAGAGACCCTGGGTCTGAAACCCAGAACGTGAGTGGAGCTGGCTCCAAGTGGAGCCCTTACCCATACACAGAGGGTCCCTCTCCTCCTAAGTTGTGGGGGGCTTTAAAGGGATACTGACTGAGGAACACCTGGGAGACTTATGGAGGGAGAAAGAATGAGTGAAGGACTAAATGAAGCAAATGGAATGTGAGAGGATAAAAGCATGGTGGTCCCCTGTCTCCTTGCCGTGGGTGCGGAGGGGGCTGCCATGGGGGTGTTTTATAGACATAGGGTTCAGGGCTCTGGGGTGGTGGTGCTCCCTGCTCCTCCATTCTCCCCTACCTCCCCCCACAGGGAAGGCCATGCCAGCCTTGTCCGGGAGCTGAAGGCAGAGCTGGGAGCCCCCCCAGGTGCCCTGGTGCTGGCCGTAGGGGGCGGGGGTCTGCTGGCTGGTGTGGTGGCTGGCCTGGCTGAGGTGGGCTGGCAGCACGTGCCTGTGGTCACCATGGAGACCAGGGGAGCGCACTGCTTCAATGCAGCCATCAAGGCCGGCAGGCTGGTCACTCTGCCGGACATCACCAGGTGAGCACGGCAGCTGTGGGGGGCTGAGGGTTGGGGTGTCCCAGTCAGGCAGGGTCTAATTGTACTGTACTCCAACCACAGCATGGAGGGATGTAAGTGAGGACCCAAACCAACCCACCGCTGACGCCTCCATTCTGACTCCTAATGACCCTCTATCAGGGTCCTGAGGCTGAAAATCCTGACCAGGGTGGGGGTGGGGGGTCTGCTCCTGCCCATCTTTCTTCTGAAGAACAGACAGTGGATTTGAACTGCTGATCTTTCTATGAACAGCTGAGCTCTTTAGCCACTATGCCACTGGGGTTTCTTAAGTTACCTCAATGTGCCTCCAAAGAAAGGCCTGGCAACCCATGTCTGAAAGATCACAGCACTGAAAAGGCTGTGGAGGACAGTTCTGCTCTGACCCACACGGGGGCATTAGAGGTGACATCTTCCCGCTGCTTCTTTTTCTCTCTCTGCTGTCCACTCAGCGCTGACCCTCCAGCAGGTTTTCAGAGGCTGCCCATCAGGTGGACTTGAACTGGCAAAGAGGTTAGCAATGCAAACTCCCTGAAGACTATGTCTCCACCACTTCACAGTGTTTTTCTAGCTGTATTACACACTGCAAACCTGATTTCATCACTCTTGATGATTTTTCTGCCACTTCCCTGGGAAGCTTTGCCTCTGCTTCCGTTTTTTAGGAGGCTTGTTTTTATTTCTTCCTTTCCATTGTGGGTCTACAAGGGAACAAAACCCCATTTAACATTCTTCCCATGCACAGGTGTTATGTGCTTTTGAGTTGGTTATGGCTCATAGCCACCCTATTCACAAGAGCTCTGAACCCTGCTCTATCCTGAGCCAATCCCACTGTCTCTGACACACCTACTCCCCATTACCCCAGTCACTGTGACAATCCATTTTATCTGGGGGTCTTCCTTTCCTGCGTTGTCCCTCGACCCTTCCAAGCATGATATCCTTCTCCAAAGGCTGGTCCCTCCTGGCCACATGCCCAAAGTATGTGAGATGGAGTCTCAAAATCCTTGCCTCCAAGGAGCAGCTTGATTTCACCCTCTCCAGGACAGACCTGTTAGTTCTCTTGGTGGTCCACAGATGTTCAGTGCTCTTCTCCAGCACCACAATTCTAAGGCAGTGAGTCTTCTTCTCTCATCCTTAACCCTTATGCAGCTCTCTGATGCATAGCAAGTAGTTGTGAAGACTATGGCCTGAATCAGGCACACCTTAGTTACTACACTGACATCGTTGCTCTCCAGTACTCTGGAGAGATCCCTGACAGTAGATTTTCCTAGAAGAATGCATCTTTTGATTCTCCGACTGATGCACAGCTTAGCGACACTAATTTTCGTTTGCCTTGTTGTTCAACCAACCCTCTTGTCTGTACCCCAACTTTTCCAACTCACTCAATGCATTTGCTCTGTTTGCTGGGTTGTTTTGTTTGGGTTGGTGTTTGTTTGTTTTTTTAAAAAATCACTTCATTATGATTTGAGTAAAGGTTTACAAGGCACATTAGTTTCCCCTTCAGTGCTGTATGTGTGTGTATTTTCTTTCGTGACATTGTTGCAATCTGCTCAGTGTAACATCACCCTTCCCTCTTCCTCTCTGTGTACCTCATTTCCACTCATCCTTCTCTGCAGCCCTTTCTTGCCTTCTGAACTTTGTGCTGGGGCAACTGCTGTCCTTTCGGCCTCCTGTGGTGGCTTGTTCTGAGGAGCATGGTCCTCACAGGAGTTATTGCTCATCTTATATGGAGCCATTTCTATGGTTCCAGGAAGGGCGAGGTTCAGATCTGTGGTTTGTGGGGTTATTGTGAGTCGTGGTCCTAGCAACCCCCTCACCCCC